CAAGGAACTATTTGCTATCCTCACAGCATTTAGTAAATGGCGATCTGAGCTCTTATCCGCTCAAAACCAGGTCGACGTATACTCGGATCACCGTTCCCTAGAATACTTTATGAGCACTAAGGTGCTTAACGCCCGACAAGCTAGGTGGGCCGAAGAGCTGGCCCCCTTTAATTTCCGTATCCGATACACTCCCGGATCAAGCAATGCGCGAGCAGACATCCTTTCTCGCCGGGAACAAGATATGGAAAACCTTAAAATAGCCCAGACTGATAACAGGTCGCGGGTCCTACTAGGACCGCACCGACTTGACACCCGGATCAACTCCGACTTGGCTCAGGCCTACGTGGCCCAACTGCAAACTTCAATCTTAGCAGTCGACACTTTCTCGGAGCCGATGTCCCTAGACTCCCTCGAGCTTATTGAAGCTGTCTTACAACTAAACCGTTCCTCCTTTACAGAAGAAAGAACTACCCTGCCGGGAAAGTTCCGACTCAAGAACGACCTCCTTCTGTATGAGGACCGACTATGTCTACCCTCCACTTCCGTCCTTTGTACCCGTCTTATCCGGGAGGCCCACGACCAGGTATCTTCAGCACACCCTAGTGCTAAGAAAACCTATCAGTTGCTGGCCCGGAAGTACTATTGGAAAGGAATGGAGTCATCTTGTAAAAGATACGTACGAAATTGCATAGCCTGCCGTAAGGCACATCCGAGACAAACCCGAGTCCCAGGAATGATCCACCCCTTACCAATTCCTGACCGACCAATGCAGCACTTGTGCATTGACTTTAAGGAATTCCCCCGGGACAGGTCCGGTTACGACATGATCATGGTCGTTATCGACCGCTTGTCCAAACAGGCCATCTCTATCCCTTGTCATAAGACTATTAACGCAAGGGGTATGGCCGAACTATTCGTCCAGTGGGTGTACCGCTTTGGCCACACACCCGAAACCATCATTTCAGACCGTGGCCCCCAATTCGTCTCCAGTTTCTGGTCCGAGTTCTGTCGGATCCTAGGCACTAAGGTTAAACTATCTACTGCCTACCACAAAGAAACTGATGGCCAAACCGAAATCATGAATAAATATATCGACCAGAGACTACGCCCGTTCGTAGCCTACTACCAGGATAACTGGAGTGGACTACTCCCTCTGATTGATAGAGCTCAAATTTCCTTACCCCATTCTTCCATTGGAATGTCTCCGTACCGAATTCTTTACGGAAGTGAACCCCGCCAGAGCTGGGATTGGAATCAGGACAAGCACACCAGCACTCCACCAGATAAGCTTAACCATGCTGACGCCCTTGCCCTAGCCACCCGAATGCATGAAGCTTGGAAAATCGCTAAGGAACAAATAGAAAGAACCCAGGAACGGATGCGAACCGTAGTCAACCGGCATAGGCGCCCTGTGGACTGGGTAGTAGGAGACCAAGTCTTCTTAGACACCCGCAACCTAGCTACAGATCGTCCGAGCCGAAAGCTATCCGATAAATGGGAAGGCCCGTTTAAGGTACTAGGAAAGGTAGGAAATTCTTACCGACTCCAGCTGCCGGAAGGGTCTCGGATCCACGACGTCTTTGCACCGGAGCTACTGTGTAAAGATCCCCAGGATCCCCTCCCAGGACAAGAAGCACCTAAACCTTCTGGAATTCCTATCCGCGGCGTTGAAGAATGGGAAGTAGAAGAAATCTTAGCCAGTAAGTTGTATCGTTCAAAGTTGAAATACCGAGTGAGCTGGGTCGGACATGATCCGGACCCTACTTGGTACCCTGCCTCAAACTTCATGGGAGCTCCCCATAAACTCAAACTGTTCCATGATCAAAACCCAACAAGACCGGGACCGCCCCGCTCCCTATCGAAATGGATTTCAGCTTGGGAACAAGGCACAGAAGATATGACTTCACTGCAAGATGATCAAGTGTAGGGAAAGGAAAAAACCAGACTTCATGATGGGTATCAAAACAAAACCGAACCGAAACGCCCACGAAAACAACCCGAACCACCGACGACACAACCAACTACTCACACCTCAGACTCAGAGCCCTCAGCCGAGCCAGGGCCAAGGCTACGGCGATCCGACTCCGACCAGGACACCATACTCTCCTCCTCCTCCTCTTCCTCCGCCGCCCCACCAGGACGCGGCACCGGACCCTTCCCGGACGCCAACACAACCGACTCCATAGCCGCCACCCGGCCCTCCAAACGACGCAACCCATCCCGAATCTCCACCAAGACTTGGTGGCTGGCGGCCAAGAGACCCACCACCGACAACTCCTTCTCTTGGCTCCGAGTCACTTGGACCCGGCGAACCAACACCAGAGCAGCGTCCTCCACCATCCTCCGGGCGAGAGGCCGGTGCTCCTCCGGCTCGTCGCTGGCGTCGGCGGCAGCCAAAAGATCCATGGCAGCAACAAAGGCCGCGAACTCCTCCTTGACGTACTCCGGAACCTATCAGAGTTAGACAAGTAAGAGATTAGACGACAAAAGAAGTGGCTTACAGGAGAGCACTTCTCTTTCTGCTGAGTGCAATAGTTGCACTTCTTGGACCCCTCGGAGCCGAAACTGTAGTCGACGCGGAAAAGGCCGCGCGCAAAACAACGAAGTGAACGAAGACAGATGAGGCGATACGCCTCCGGCAACGCGCCAGCTGGGCAGCGAAGCGGCATGGTGTGTGTGTGTGTG